TTATTAGATGGTAATAATAATGTGATAAACTATAATTTTAATTGAAATAATACAAGTTGTATATCTTTAAATAAAAAAATAAAAAAATTTATATTTTTAAATTAAAAAATTAAAAATTTATAGTTTGATTTAAAAAAATCAAAAAATTCTTCTTTTTTTTTTTATAAAGAAAATAATCTAGTTATATTAAAAGAAGGTAAAGACATTAAAAAAAATTTTATACCGGTGAAAGAGGCAATCTAGCAAAACTGTCACTCTTATCTGCTACAATTAATAACAACTTTGAGGCACAAAAATAGCCCAAATAATAAAAAAACACTAGAAAAGAATAGCTAAATACGATACAGCATGCTTAGTTACTCTCCTGCCCGTTCAGTGTTAGTTATAAACTATTATGGCACACCCAACACCAATAATAGCTTTTTATGATAGCAATCACCTAGAATGGGAACATAAAAATGTTCCCCCATGAAACACCACCTCCACAAACAAACTGCCCAAAACAACACCTACCACCCCTTCCACCACTAACCAGTGCAACCCACACCAACGAACAAAATTTGATGGCAACACCACAATCCTTTGGAGGTCCAACTTACTAAAAAGGACCACAGCAACCCCTAACCACCATCACATTGATCCGTTCATCGCAACACCAATAACAAGACTCCTTAATGGCAGCGACCAAAACAATAACTATCTCCTATGCCATTTGACATCTGTTGTTGCTGAAAACCTTCAAGGCCTTCTTTGCTCAGATCTTCTTGTCCAATAAACATGCAAAGCCTTGAGGGTGATTTTCGTGGTAGACACTCCGATGCTTAAATCAGCAATAGTCTACACTTAGAGCTCTTTAGAGAGAATGGAGTGTATTAGAGAAAAATACTCAAGGAGGAGTTCTGTACCTTTGAGGGGTGTGGGGGTATTTATAAATCCTTTGAGAATGCTAGATGTATGTTGCACTTCTGTTGGTCCCTTTGGATCTATTTGAATGTATATGAACTCCATAGTAACTTATGCATGTGCTCTTTTGTATTTGGGCCTCATGGGCCTTTACTATGTTTATGGGTGTTGGGATAGGCCCAACAGGCCCAACACCCAAACAGGGCTGTGGGAAACGGGCCTAGGCTACCACCCATCAGCCTAAACTGAAGGAACAT